CTCAGTTAGCATGGGTTCAGTTAGCATTGGTCAGTTAGCATGGCTTTAGTTAGCATAGGCTCAGTTAGCATGGGTTCAGTTAGCATGGGTCAGTTTAGCATGGCTTTAGTTAGCATAGGCTCAGTTAGCCTGGGTTCAGTTAGCATGGGGTCAGTTAGCCTGGGTTCAGTTAGCATAGGCTCAGTTAGCATGGGTTCAGTTAGCATGGGTTCAGTTAGCATGGGTCAGTTAGCATAGGCTCAGTTAGCATGGGGTCAGTTAGCATGGGTTCGGCGAGTTTATACCAGTTGGTTTCTCCATCAGATGAACCAGGCTGCTGCTCTCATCTGACTCTGTTTTATTGAAGCAACAACTCAACTTTTTCTCAGTCGATTATTTCAAAGTGGGCATCCTCTGTGCCCCTGGAAGCCAGGGTGGGGGACCCCGTGCGGGTAGTGGATGCTGACCTGATTGTCTGCATGCAGACAGAGAACTGGTTCCCAGTGAGGGATTGGAGGAGGTTGGCCAAAGACAGGAGCTGTTGGCACAACACTCCGCCTCTGTCACGTCCTCACACATCTGAGCTCCGTCTGGCGTGAAAACGGCCAAAGAAAGAGGGATTACAGGGAGAATAGACGGGTTTCTCAGCCAGACTCTGACACCAAGGTATTTGAAGAATGAGAGATTATTTCAGACCCAGTTTGAGCAAACAGAGAAATGATTGTTTGCTTCTGAAAAAGAGACAAGAGGCTCAATCATGTATTCACTTCCGGATCCGGTTTGTTTTCTGCATTTAAATGGGAAATCCAATTTCATCATTCATTCAGAAAAAGAACAGTTTTTCCTCTTATTAGAAAATCATTCATTAGTCTTTAGTCAGTAGTTTGTAATTTATTGGCCTTAAACCTTAAAATAAACTTAGAATGAAGATAAAAGCTGTTAAAAGTCTCAAATGTTTAAACATCATGTGCTTTAAATGCTCCCTCCATGGCTGTTCATTTTCTTTTCTGGGTTTTTCTTCTTTCACTGTAATCTGCCAACATTTTGAGTCAAAGTTGTTCATTTTCCACTAACTTTTCTCAAGCTTACAGTTGGTTTGTCTTATTTTTCTTGTAAAAATAGATACGTAAGTTTGATCAAACACTAAACTGCCAAACTGCCTCATTCTCTTCCAAACATATCAGATAATCAGCAGCGTAGTGTAAAACCTCTGCATGTTTCAGACTGGAAGGTTTTTATTTGGGATGCTACTTTCATTGTAACATTAAATTTAAATGAGTTTTATCTGTTTCTGCTGCAGCTGCTGTTGCTAAACAGCCTCTCCGACTAATTAAAAGTGTTTTGTTTGAAGGAGTTTCTCCTCCTCCGTCCCGCCGCTTTCCGTTGGGCTTTCTGTTCTGCGTGAGCGACCCGTCAGGAGTCGATGTCTGTTTAAACGAGACGTGTCCTGTGTGGGCTCGGAGCCGGCTCAGCCCACTCTGAAACGTAAACACCGCCTACCTCACTGCGCCTCCTGAAAAGATTGTTTTTGGTGTTTTATGAAAATGCAGATTTACAGAGCGGTGAGAAACACATGGGAGCAGAGAAAGAACGGAAACTACAAGCCCACTTTCTGCTGCGCCTTCTTTTCATACGTTTATTTGGTTATAATGTATCTGATTAAACCAGATCTTGTTAATTTGGTGTGAAACTAAATATAGAAGGTAACTAACAGTTTCTTCCAATAAGAGTTTGACTTTTTTGCATAAGTTTTAGATATTTAGTCTGTTGATTTGTCTGATTTGATATTTCTCCAGTTTTTCTTAGATTTTTCAATAACTCGATTAAGTCCGAATGAATAATTTCTGAAGGTTGTTTTTAAATAAATAAGTATTTAGCAAAGATCAGTTGAGTTTTATTACAAGCAGATCTTAATTTTGTTGTCCATTATTGTGACTGATGAGGTCAAGAAAAAGCTGTTTTAAAATAATAAAATATTCAAATTATTTAATTTTCATTCAGTTTATTTAATATTTAAGCTGAAGAATGTGAACAAAGAATCAACATTGTGCATCAAACTGCTACAAGATCCACTGAACATCTTTCACCTGGAGATGAAGAATTCCTTTAAATGATGGGATTCTCCGGCGCCGCTCCGATCCGCTATGATCCGCTCCGATCCGCTATGATCCGCTTCGATACAATCTGATCCGATCCGATACAATCTGATCCGATCCGATACAATCCGATCCGATACAATCTGATCCGATCCGATCTGATTCGATACGATCCGATACGATCCGAGGTTGAGGTTTCATTGTTTAGGAATGAGATCCAGAGCTTTTCCTCCTGAATATTTCATGACACAAACCATAAAGATCGAAGCTAAATTCGCTGTCCTGTTGTTAGAGGGGAGAAAACTGTAAAATATGTACTTTGGTTTGTGTTTGATTAAAGATATTGACATGAAAATTGGCTGGACTTTATCAATGTTTGAGAAGTTGAAGACGTCAACATGAAACTGATAATTATTTTAATCATCAATTTATACATAAATTATTCAAATACATTTTCCATCTAAGTCTTTTTCAGATAGAATATTAGGACATTAAAAGAAGCTCATCTGTCCTGCTGAACGTTACCTGTAGTTTTGTCTCATTCAGACCAAAATTAGTTGGTGAGATTTTGTGTTTTTACAGTGTATTCAGCACTGCTGCCACTAAAAAGGCAGAAAAATCTCCGTCTGGATGATTTGGCTCTAAAATGAAGAAAAGGATGTTTTCACACCAGATCTGGTTTTGAGCTTTTTCTTTTTTGCTCATCGTTTCTGCAAAACAATAAATTACAAATGACCTGTAACAGGCCAAGAATGCAAGAATTTGAGTTTGATTATGAAAATAAAATAGTAGAAGAAAAAATATGCAAAAGAAAACGGAAAACATCTTAAAAGTATGAGAAAAAGATTATAGTTTCAAAGTTGTACTGATAATTTGATTCTGATTAAAGAATAAATAAAACTTAAAGTATAACTTCAAAAGATCCTCAACATTCTTAATTTTTGGTTATTTTTTGCGTTGGAATTTTTATATAATTACTGCTTTATTTTCCGAATTATCAGATTTTATTCCGGTGAAATTAAAACTTTATTCTTGTAACTCTCAAAAATCTAAATAAATAGAAGATGTAAAACTCACTTGTCGAAGAAGAAAAATCAATATGGTAAAAAAAAATCCAGATTTTCCAAACATTAAATTTTCAAAGAACAAAAATTTGAATAATTGATTAGCTGGGTTTATTTTCCAGCCCAACTCAAACTCTAACTTTGACATTTAAACCTGACTGGATGGAAAAACCTCTCAGCTTGAGTCAGCATGATGCTGCCACCACCGAACTTCTCCCTGTCTTCCCTCCCGGCGCCAAGCCGTTTATTCTGCTTCCTCTGTGGCTGTGCAGGAAACACACATCTTCTCTCAATGTTTCGTTTTTCCACTTTGTTGCTGTTCTGCTCCATCAGTGATGCATTTTCACTGCATCCTTACTCTCATAAAAATTAAAAATAAATCACATCTGATCCATTTTTGTCTGCAAATGGACAATTTCCTCCATAACAAGTGAATCAATGTGCTAATGTGTGATGATGAGTGTGTGACGTTAAAATGTGTGTGCGGACGAAGAGACAGAAAACTGAAGCTTATTTTTATCAAGCTGATATGGAAACAGACGTTTATTTAACGCTTCAACGGTTCAGAATGAAACAATAAGATCTTATTAAACAGGCCTCACTTGTTCTTAAGTCTATAAATCCTTGTGTTTAATTTAATTAGCTTGAATGTGTTTGTGAATTTAAGTCCTGTTGTTTTTGCTGGAAGTTGAAATGAGACATGAAGTCATGTTTCCTTGCTTATCGATTTCAAATAAAGCGAATGGCGTCCATGAAGGAAACCTCAGTCTGATGTCAGGAGGAAGTGAGTGAGGGTTAGGGTTACTCGACCCCTGATGGGGTCGAGTATCCAGATGCTGCACCGCGTCGCAGCATCTGGACGGAGGGAAACAAAACCAGCAGCACAAAGTCCCAGTTCCACATTCATCACAGCACAGAAACCAGCAATATCTGTCAACATGGAGGCAGCGCCAACTTTGCAGCGCCAACTTTGCAGCAGCAACTTTGCAGCAGCAACTTTGCAGCGGCGCCGGCCATCTTAGACAGGAAAAAGGAAAGGAGACAAAGCAGAGAATCAATAAAGGATGGATAAATCAACAAATGAATAACTACCTGGATTTTTTCCCATCTTAAACAAAACTTAAAAGTTTAAAGGGAATCTGTTGCCATATATTTTGTTTATCCATCTGTGACTCTAAAATATGTTAAATGTTTTCTGGCATTAAGTTCGTGTTTTTTTGTTTATTGTAACATCTCCTTCCAGTGTTTGGTCATCTGGTTTTCCTGCTGCATGCTCTGTACAATGGCTGCTGGAAAAGACAAGAGTTCTGTTTTTGACTTGTTGGTTGTGCAGGAGGCTCCACTACTGCTTTTCATAGGTTGTATAATTGTGCATCTGTTTGCAGAGCTTTTGTTGTGCAGGTGTTGTGCAGGTGTAAATGATGGGGGCATGGCCAGCAGCAGGTTTTTGGGATTTAAAGAGACAGAGACCCTGAAAAATTTTGGACTGAAATCTGATCATCTGAGAATGATTTAATGTAAAAATGTAATGAACGGGTTTTGAATAGACCAGTGGTGTCTAAAATGGCATCCTGCATGTTTCAGTTCTCCCTGGTTTAACGCCCCTGAATCAAATGATGGCTGTTTAGAGGCCTGAGCTGAACTCTGACCTGCTGAGGAGGAAGTGAAACATGCAGGATGCTGAACCGACTCTGGACTCCTGTGGTACCGACCACAGACCCATCCTGACCCGTTCAGCCAGCAGAATCTGTTTAATGTGTAGATTCTGATTACAAGCTGCTTCAACAACCTGTCAGCCTGACTGACCTCCTGATTGCCTTAGAAACGGCTCCTGAGCAAAACGTGTCGGTTGGTGTTTCAGGTCGCAGCTGGAGGCGACGGGCGGCGCGGCGGCCGACGGCCAGACGAAGGACGGAGACGCTCCGCCTCCTCGCTCGCAGCAACACGGTTGCTACGACCTGGACGACCTGGATGTCACCTGGCTGCAGCTGGTCAACCAGGAGTTCAGGCAGATGGGTGAGTCGCTGCTGCAGACGCTGCCGCAGTCGCTGCTGCAGCCGCAGCTTCTGCTGTAGTCGCTGCCGCAGCCGCTGCTGTAACAGCTGTAACAACTGTTAACAGAAGAATAAAGTCTCAAACAGACAATTTGCTAAAACAACAAATGATTGAACCAAAACTATAAAAAAACATTTAACATAAAAACAGCGTCTTTGTTTAAATGTCTGAAGTTGTAGTTTTGCTTCATCTGCGTCAAGATGAAGCAAGATTTTTTTTTAATCTCCCATTAAGCACATTTTGGTGTCCAGTTATTAATCTGTTAATCCAAAATCAAATTAGTTCTATACTTTGCTAATAAACAGAAATGACAATAAAAATATTTTTTATCCTTTGTTAAAGGATTGCTGTTATTGCATTAAATGCAGAAAAAGAAGATTTATTATATTTATAAAGGTAGTTATTTGTTGAATTGCATCTTTTGATGTTTTCTAATGTTTAAAAAAGTTCAAGTAGTTCAATAAAAATATCTGTTTTTTCCAATTATAATCAGTTTCTAAATTAAATGTTAGTTGAAGCTCTGGTCGTGTTGTGATGCTAAACGTTCACTGCATATATAAAAATACAACATTGAATTAAATTAAAATCCATTTTTAGGTCTGAAACTTTCTGTAAATTAAACTTCAGCCGTTTTCTCTTTTTTGTCCAGTTTATAGTGCAAATATCTTAGAGCACTCAAAAAAACTTTCAGCAAATAATGAGAACTTGTTTGATTTCATTGTAACGTGGGAAAAATTCCTGTTCTGATTGAAAATCTACTAACTGAGCTGGAACGTTTTCATCAAGATGAAGTCATTGCTAACAAAGCTCCTCTATGTTTCTGAAAAGTCACTTATGAGTTAGTTTTATGCTCTAAGATACACACTGCAGAAAAAACTGAAACAGTCAGATTTTGTGTTTTTGCAGTGTTTCTAAAGTCTTGCTATAAAAAGAAATACATGAAGGAAAAGCTCAGCTCCAGAATGACTTAAAGAATCAACTCATGTTTTTCATACAGATCATTTTCTATTGAATATTTTCTTCTAATTTGATCAATTAATTTGTTTTAATAATGACACTAAAAGTTGATTTTACCCCTTTTTTCATAATTGTCCTTCTTTGCTGTCAACATGTTGATTCTCAGTGCAGAAGCAGATTTACTTTCACAGGTGGAGCGTTGCAGCTTCCACCATAATGATATATTTTAATGCATTTTGATAAAATAGTTTTAAAGTAAAAAAATTAAGTCATCTTTTATCACCTGTCATATTTGCTGCTTTCCAGCCTGCTGCACACATTTGAATTATTTGCACCGAGTTTGGAATAAATATCTTATTTTTCATTTGTTAAGGTTTGTGCATTAAAGACAGAAACGATTTTCCCACATTATAACTTAACTTGGAGATTTTGGTTATTTATGTGACATAAAATCAGGAAACTTCACTTTAATGCCAACTATGCAAATCAAACACGATACGGATATGTAACAGGATGCAGAAGAAAGAGTAAATAAAGTTATTAATAGATGGAGGCTCCTCTTTCAAAATAAGCGTTGGATCCTTCAGATGAATCAGTAAAAAGTCCACAAACTCTCTGGCTAATGAGCTGTGATGGTTGGTGGTCCGCTTCGTTACAGCTGTTTTGTTACAGATGCTTTGTTTGCTCCCTGTATTTATTTAGCTGCAGCACTTTTAATCTCATAAAGTTTCTAAAATGATCTTTTCCATAGAAACATCCTTTAACGAGACGTTTTTCCTTCCTCGGTTTGTTTAATCCTTTCGCTCCAGTTAGCGATGATAGTTTTCCATGTATCTCCTGTCCTGAAGTCAGGCTGTTTGCTTTGCTCGTATCTCTGATCCTTTTTATTTTTTAGCTCTCCTTTGCCAGTTAGAACAGATTTCATCAAGAATTCAGCAGCCTTGGAGCAAGGCAGCACTTTGAGATGCAAATTGAGCAGGAATACAAACGACAACATGAGCTGAGCTCTGGGCAACTGAAGTTCTTCTTTTATTATATTTATCTGAACAAGCAGCATTTCTCCACTTAACTCAGGATTAACTATTAACACCTGACTAATTTCCTCCTCATTTCATGCAGTGACATAAATCTGAGTCTGTTTCCTATGGAAGCAGCCAAAACTAACTGAATCTGAACATTGTCTCAAAAAAACACTGGAAGGAAAACTGAAGTGTCTTCGCCGTAACGCTCCAGGTCCAAGTTTGCAGCTCTGCTGGAAAAAGAAATGAACAGAGAAAACAGTTTTACACCCTGACAGATAAATATTATCTTTGCTTTTTTTCCTATTTAAATTGCAATAGTGACATTACTGTATATATAAAATTAAGCTTTAATTTTTGATTTATCAAGTGGATAAAAGTTATTTATACCCAAAAAAATAAAAGCCGAAATTTGCCTAAAAAGTCCAGATAGTGACGTGTAAAGGCTAATCGACCTCTGACCTCTGGTCCTCCAAGCCTGGGTCTGGTTTGGTTTAAATGTGAACCCCAAGCGGACCAGAGACCGCTCCACAAGCAGGAAGTGGACTACAGTGCAGGGCATTCTGGGTAAATCTAACCAAAGCTAACCTGCTAGCCTAGCGCTAGCAGCAGAAATGGCTCCTGGTCTTCAGCCAAAGACTAAAGAGAAATCACTAAACTCTGACGCCTCCATCTTGTTTCATCTGGTGAAACAGGAAGTTGCTCTCAGCGTCTTCAGAGGTTTTAGTGTCGTTTCCTTCAGTGGTTGTTGGTGCAGCGCCCCCACAGGCCAGGAGGGGAACAGGCTGGTTTGGGTCAGAACCACAGCAGCTGGAGGTGGAGCAGAAGTTCTGGTTCCAGTAGAACCGGGTCGACCCGACTGAAGGATGGAAACAGAATCAAAATGTTTTATTTTATGTCCTGAACTGGAGATATTCAAGAATAAATCAGAAACAGTCACTGAGAATCACTGCATTTTTTATAGATGCTATCTGTATTTATATGCATAACATTATTCAAAACTATAAAGACACATAAACAATTAATAATGCGCCATCACGCATTAAAAAATGAAAGCATTCCTGATCGTGGGCGGAGCTGCTAGCGCCACACACTGGTGAAAACCACATTTCACTGAAAGTTACCAGACTGCGTTGATATTGTCATTTTGTCTTTCAGCAGCTGCTTATTGAACCAGTTTCAGTTCTGGTTCTCTGTTCATCCTCAAATAGAAGAGAATGACAGAATCCTAATGCGAGGTCATAAAGTCAAGATGAACTGTTCTGGAAGGAAAGGCCTTTACCTCCGACAGTCATCTGAGACGAAAACAAGACTTTAGCACCTCATTAACATGGCTGTTAAACCAAACGCAACATCTATTTTTAGCTGTAGATTAGTGGGACAACCTTTCAGACGAAGGTCAGGGCAGCAAACAACATCTGTGGCCTTGGAGACGGTCAGGGCCAAACGTTTATTTAACACCCAGACCTGATGTTTCAACCCTTTTATTTTAATTACATTATTACTTATTGCTGGATGTCTGGGGAACTGAAATGGAAACTGAGCGTTGAATGCAGATGAGGCATCAAAAAATGAAAAATGGAAACAGTTACTGTTATTTTATTGATATCTAGGAAGAATAAATCCGACTCCAGAGAAACACCCTCAGCTAATATCCTCTAAATATTCTTAGAAAAACCATAAATCACACTTTTAATCCCCCCAAACAAGTGAGAGCTTGAAATCCTTAAAATCCTTGAAATCCTTGACTTTGCTCATAAAGTCCAACCCAACAGATCGGCCAGAAAACTTAATGTTGTTTGTATTTAATGTTAAAGCATTTAATTTGAGCAGGAAGGTCATTTACTTTAACAAGATCTATTTGCATCGTTTTAATGTAATGAATATTTACGAAACCAGCTGACCAAACGTGCTGGAGTTCACTGTGGTTGCCAGGTAACAGGGCTGGGCTCACTGGGGCTGCTAGGTAACTTATTGCAATAAAGGCTGGCTCCTATTTTATATGTTAAAGTAAGTTATTGAAGTTATTAATCAATGTTTTGTTTTCAGACACTTGGATGTAGAGAAACATTTCACAACATAAAATTTGGTGATATTACTTTGTCCCTCCTGTAGTAGGATATAAAAATAACATCACAAAGCACTATTAATAATAATTGATATCATATTAATAACTCTTCTGTTTTCATCTCCATCTGGTTCTGGAAAAGTTTGAAACTTACCTTCAAAATGCTTGAAAAGTCCTTGAATCACTGTGGGAAAGTGATATATGAAGATATTGTAAAAAAACAGGAATGAAAGCAGAATTAGCTTTATTTTTCACAGATCTCGTGTTCCAGCGTTTTAATGGCTGCTTGGTTTTGGCCCAGCGCTGCCGGAGCTGGACGAGCTGACCATGGAGAGCGTCCTGGTGGAGCTGGAGCGCGTCTGCCAGGAAAAGATGCAGCAGGCCATCGAGACGGAGGAAGGCCTGGGCATCGAGTACGACGAGGACGTGGTGTGTGACGTCTGCCGCTCGCCGGAGGGAGAAGACGGAAACGAGATGGTCTTCTGTGACAAGTGCAATGTCTGCGTCCATCAGGTCAGACTTCAACAAAATCTCCTGCAGTTTGACTGACTGACAGTCAGCATCGGTCTGTATGTTCATCGCTCTGCGATATCGAGACCACAGATTTATATTATTGGTTTGGACATCACCTGTTAGCCTCTGCAGCTAGCGACGCTCCTTCAGCCATTACTGCGCATCGATTTATGTCAACCAGTCAATAAAGTCGAAGCTTTATTTCTTAAGCTATTTCTAGAAAATATGGTCTAAATTAGAGCTTAGAAAATTGCTGATGTTTTGAGATGCGTCGCTAACGATGACTAGCATTGGTTTTAGCTTTTAAGTTGTCAAAACAAGATTCTAAATCTTACATTTATGCCTGATGCATAAAGAAAAAACAGACGCAGTGCTTTGCTACTACACAAGAACAAGGTCAGGAAAAAGTTTGAATTAAAAAATGGCGAGGGAGAGGAAAGTAGCTCAGTTATGCTAGCTTGACGATGAAAATCTTCATGGTCAAACTAGCATAACTTGACTGTTCATCAAGTTATGATGAACAGTCATAACTTGTTCTGTGTTTCGGTTCAGTTTAGATTTAAAAGAAGAGACTAAAACACCAACTTCAGAGTGGAAAAAACAATTTAAGTATGATGCTTCAATTAGCTAATCTGCCGCCGCTGTGTTAGCTTAGCTAATAGCAGCAGGCCCGCCTAACGTCTCGCGCTCTCTGCCAGGCGTGTTACGGCATCCTGAAGGTGCCTCAGGGCAACTGGCTGTGTCGGACCTGCGCTCTGGGGTCCAGCCCAAATGTCTGCTGTGCCCCAAGAGAGGCGGCGCCCTGAAGCCGACGCGCAGTGGAACCAAGTGGGTCCATGTCAGCTGTGCCTTATGGATCCCTGAGGTGAGCCCACAGTGTTTGTGTCACACTGGATTGAAGGTTTACTGCAGATTCTGGTCCCATTTATGTCTGGACTTTGACTAGGCCACTCTAGCACATCTATTAGAATATAGATCCATTTAGAGAACTATATTTTCCTTTTGTGTTACTGGCAGCTGGAGGTCACAGTGTGATGTTTTTGTTTTCATAGGATTATGTATCATTTTCTTTCTTCTTTATAAGTATAAATTACTTACAATAAAATCCATAGTTTCTTTTTGTTTTTTTCATTTTTCTCTTTCTACCAAAAACTGGATGGTAAAAGTTTTCAGTCTGCAGTTTTTGTCTCATCTAAACCTTTTTCTGAAGGACAGTTTGGTTTACAGAGACTTCATAATTCTTTTTGTTGTTTTATTTATTTAACATGCCTTCCAGCTTTAAATGTTTGTCAGAATTTAAAGTTTATCGATCCAGAATCTGTTCTTGCTTTAATCCTGGCATTAATCTGAGTTACAACAGCAGTTATTTTCTCTTGGGATCAATAAAGTATTTTTAAATTTGAATTGAAATAGTCTCAAACCAACAATATTATCAAACATTCAGAACCTGCAGAAAAATCGTTTTAAACATCAACAAGATTTTTTCTCCTTTTCACCATAAAGAATGAAAACGTGTTCAGGTTTAATGTGATAAAATTCTTTTCAGTGCTGCATTTTGAGCAGATTTTGTTCATTTGTAACTTTTAAAATAATTGAAAGCACATAAATAAATGCACATGCTTTCTGTCCTTCACACCTTCAGAAGCTTAAATTAAGTTTAATAACTGATAATAAACTTAACTGCAACAGATTATAATAAAAGCTCTGATTGTTTCTTTTCACCTGAATAGTTTTTTACACAGATAACCTTTTTTCCATGAATGGATTTTCACATTTTATCGTTTTTCTCCTGCCAGCTTTTTTGGTAATTGGATAAAAATCAGGATGTTTAAAGTCTGAGATCTAATCAGATAATCTCATCAAGCATGAGCTGGAAATCCTTCTGCCGAAGCGTTTCACCCAAAAGACTCTGAAAATATTGGCTCTGGCAGCAAAATGCTTCCAGAAGGACGAGTGGATGGAGGGAAGGATGGAGGGAGAGAGAGAGAGACAGAGAGAGAGAGCTGCTTCAGAAACCAGAGGAAGAGGAAGAGGAGTTTCTTTGGAGGGGAAGGAAGTGAGGAAGAGGAGAAGAAACGGCTCTTTCTTTCTTCCTCTGAGTGTTTCTGGTGGAGGTCCGGATCCGAAGCGGCTCTGATTGGACTGACAGAGAGAATAAGATTTAAACTGAGCAGCAACAACTCAACACATTTCACTCAAACTAGGCCTGTCACAGTAAACAAGGAGTCACTTATTACCAGTTCCTATTTTCAGTTTGCCAGTTTAGAGACTTTATCATTCATTTCATTTGTTTTGTTTATTTTGGACATTTAAAATGTTGTATAGTGTTAAATCTTCATTAGAATTTAAAGTTTATTGATCTTCCATTATATTACTGGAAAATGGCCTCAAAACACCAATATGATCGCACATCTTTGAAAAGCATTCGTGGAGCCTCCTGCACAACCTTTGCTGTCTGTTGTTCTGCAGGTGAGCATCAGCTGCCCGGAGAAGATGGAGCCCATCACCAAGGTGTCCCACATCCCCGCCAGCCGCTGGGCTCTGTCCTGCAGCCTGTGTCGAGAACTCACAGGAACCTGCATCCAGGTACCGGAGAACCGCCGCCTCTCTGCCCAGGAGCGGCTCCACCGGGGGGCTGGGGGGGTACAGGGGAGGAGGGGGGGGTCGGAGGCACCTGGGGGGAACGGGGGGGGGTCGGAGGCCCCGGGGGGGACCGGCCACCCTGCTAACGCTCCTCTATATGTTTATAAATGTCAGATGACCAGGAAGAGTGAGGCTCTGTTAGAGAAACATCACGACCTGTGGAGGGATAAAGTACATATATCATATTTATAGAATAACTGAAGGTTCTTCATCGTTTCCTGTTTCTAATAAATAGGAAACGTAGACAGCACACAGCAGAGAAACATTTTTCCACGCGGTGTGAAGGTTGAGGAAAGATTTTAATTGAACAGAATTTGAAATGAGTGAAAACTGAGCAGGACTTTGGTGGTGACATTTGAACAAATATTACAGTTTTAATGACAGTCTGGTTATGATTTTGTAATGTTGTGTTTTTATTACTTAAAGCACTTTGAACTGCTGCATAACCCACCAGTGGAAGTAGATACTTTTAATCAATATTGAGGAATTATTGACTTCAAGCAGAGTCTTACTTTTTTATTTCTAGTGCATTAAGACATTTGCACTAGAAAACAGAGAAAAACACTTGGTAACAAATCTCTAGTTGAACATGATTCATTCAATTCAAATGGTTTTTATTGCTTCCCTTAAACAAACGCAGTTAGTTCATGTTCACCTGCCTGTCGTCCAGGTGAGCCCCTGGCTGTGTGTGTGTGTGTGTGTGTGGTGTGTGTGTGTGTGTGTGTGTGTGTGTGTGTGTGTGTGTGTGTGGTGTGTGTGTGTGTGGTGTGTATGTGTGTGTGTATGTGTGTGCGTGCGTGTGTGCGTGCGTGTGTGTGCGTGCATGCGCGTGTGTGTGTGTGTGTGTGCGTGCGTGCGCGTGTGTGTGTGTGTTCTGGAAGGATTCTCACACTCACTGTTTGTGCAGCCATGGGAGTGTTTGCTTTGACCGTATTGATGCTGTAGATTAACTGTGAGCCTTTGAGCCAGATCTGCCCACAGGGAGGGAATCTCACTCTCATGTTTCCGTAGCTGGAGGCAGATGAACACACACACACACACACACACAGACCCACACACTCACACACAGCAAAGATGCTGATGCTGCACAGCAGCGCGATGGAGAGAATTTTCCTCATTAAATGTTTCAGAATTGATTATTTTTCTTTCTCTTCTGAATAACCCGCCATTAAAAATACTAAATGTTTTCTGCATCATCATTTTGTTGGTTATGTTTCATCTTCAACTGTATAAAATGGTTTGGTTTGCATCAGTCAGGTTTATTTGTGTTGCACATTTCAGCAAGCAGGCAGTTCAAAGTGAAAACACCAAACAGTCCAACATTGTTACATTTTGCCATCAATATGCATCAAAATGTTTTTCATTTGCTTTGGTTCAGAAGCAGCAGCAGCTGCTCTGGAGTTAGAGGAGCTCAGTGTTTCGGCTGCTTTGCAGTTTTCTGGAAGTTTGATCCAGATGAACTGCAGCAGACAGTAAACAGGATTTACAACAGATCTCTGAATGTTTTACTTCTTTATTCTCTTTTTAATACATTGTTTCAAGTTTATCACAAAAGTTTTTCATTCTGTCTTCATTGTTCATTTCACAATAAATTAATAATTTCATCTTTTATCTGTCTTTGACCAGAAGATATTTTAAATATCCAAATAAAAACATAACTGACAACAATAAATATTTGATGACAAACAAAACTGTAATGTTAGTCCTGTAGTACCAGAAAGGACGCCACGTCTTTTAAAGTTGACTCTTTTATTAATTAACTTCAGCAACACTCATGTTAACTTGATCCTGTCTGACTTCCTCATGTGCCAACCTGCTTGCATCACCACCTGCTGGTGCTGCCTATCATTACAAAAACTGCACTTAAAAAAATATTAATGATCAGAATGGAAATTAGTGAGTTGATTTTAATTTATCGGGCGACGCCAACTTTTAGATGTTCCTAGTTCAACACACCTGAGTCACATTATGAGGTCATTAGTAGGACCACTGCTGCGTTAGCTTAGCTAATAGCAACGCTAGCTAATCTACTGCTGCTGCGTTAGCTTAGCTAATAGCAACGCTAGCTAATCTACTGCTGCTGCGTTAGCTTAGCTAATAGTAACGCTAGCTAATCTACTGCTGCTGCATTAGCTTAGCTAATAGTAACGCTAGCTAATCTACTGCTGCTGCGTTAGCTTAGCTAATAGTAACGCTAGCTAATCTACTGCTGCTGCATTAGCTTAGCTAATAGTAACGCTAGCTAATCTACTGCTGCTGCGTTAGCTTAGCTAATAGCAGCGCTAGCTAATCTACTGCTGCTGTGTTAGCTTAGCTAATAGCAGCGCTAGCTAATCTACCGCTCCTGTGTTAGCGTAGCTAATAGCAGCACTAGCTAATCTACTGCTGCTGTGTTAGCTTAGCTAATAGCAGCGCTAGCTAATCTACTGCTCCTGTGTTAGCTTAGCTAATAGCAGCACTAGCTAATCTACTGCTGCTGTGTTAGCTTAGCTAATAGCAGCAATAGATAATCTACCGCTCCTGCGTTAGCTTAGCTAATAGCAGTGCTAGCTAATCTATCACACTGATCACTTAATAATTGCAAAACAAAAATCAAACCTGAAAACGTAAACCTGTAACATGTTGTGTTGTAATCTGGGGAATGTTTGAGTGTTTTTTTGGTGACATGTAAATGATTGATTGATTGATTGATTGATTATAAATGGTCCCACTAAGACATTAGTGCTGTCAGTGATAAAACAGCTCCAGTCCTTCTAGTGAAAATGTCTCGTCGGCCCGCAGTGCTCCACGCCGTCCTGCATCGTGGCCTTCCATGTGACCTGCGCCTTCGACCGCGGCCTGGAGATGAAAACCATCCTGGCCGAAAACGACGAGGTCCGCTTCAAGTCCTTCTGCCGGGACCACAGCTCGGCCGCCAGCGGCATCAACGGAGCGGCCAGGTCCGAGCAGCACCACGAGCCCGACGGCGAACCGGAGCAGAGCCGGACGTCCCACCCGGTGTCTGCGTCGGAGCGGGCCGAGCGGGACCAGCTGGAGCGGGAGAAGGTGAGCCAGAGGAAGCAGAAGCTCCAGGAGCTGGAGGACGAATTTTACCGACTGGTGGAGCCGAGCGACGTGGCCCAACACCTGGAGCTGCCGCTGCTGCAGGTAGGTGATGCTCAGGTAGGCCCTGATCCTTACCCAGGTAGGCCCTGACCCTGGTAGGCCTTTCCCCTTACCCTGGTAGGCCCTGACCCTGGTAGGCCTTTCCCCTTACCCTGGTAGGCCCTGACCCTGGTAGGCCCTGACCCAGGTAGGCCCTGGTAGGCTCTGACCCTGACCCAGGTAGGCTCTGACCCTGACCCTGGTAGGCCCTGACCCAGGTAGGCCCTGGTAGGCTCTGACCCTGACCCAGGTAGGCTCTGACCCTGACCCTGGTAGGCTCTGACCCTGACCCTGGTAGGCCCTGACCCAGGTAGGCTCTGACCCTGGTAGGCCTTTCCCCTTACCCTGGTAGGCCCTGACCCAGGTAGGCCCTGGTAGGCTCTGACCCAGGTAGGCCCTGACCCAGGTAGGCCCTGGTAGGCTCAGAGCCCAGGTAGGCTCTGACCCTGGTTGGCCCTGACCCAGGTAGGCCCTGACCCAGGTAGGCTCTGACCCTGGTAGGCCCTGACCCAGGTAGGCCCTGACCCTGGTAGGCTCTGACCCAGGTAGGCCCTGACCCAGGTAGGCCCTGACCCAGGTAGGCCCTGACCCAGGTAGGCCCTGACCCTGGTAGGCTCTGACCCAGGTAGGCCCTGACCCAGGTAGGCCCTGACCCAGGTAGGCTCTGACCCTGGTAGGCCCTGACCCAGGTAGGCCCTGACCCTGGTAGGCTCTGACCCAGGTAGGCCCTGACCCAGGTAGGCCCTGGTAGGCTCTGACCCTGACCCAGGTAGGCTCTGACCCTGGTTGGCCCTGACCCAGGTAGGCCCTGACCCAGGTAGGCTCTGACCCTGGTAGGCCCTGACCCAGGTAGGCCCTGACCCTGGTAGGCTCTGACCCAGGTAGGCCCTGACCCAGGTAGGCCCTGACCCAGGTAGGCCCTGGTAGGCTCTGACCCTGACCCAGGTAGGCTCTGACCCTGACCCAGGTAGGCCCTGACCCAGGTAGGCCCTGACCCAGGTAGGCTCTGACTGACTGCAGAGAGACATTTTACTGGACAGAGCAAAACAAGGACATTTCTGAGCTCCAACAGCTGAACATTAAAAAACTTTGGTTACTTTTTTACTTTTAAAAATTTGAAAAAGTGCTAAAGTTTCTAATTTTCGTGTATTTTCTGCATAATGTCTGAGCTTCAGCTCAAAGTTTTTGTCTTTTGTGGGAAACCAACTAATTTCTTTTCTCCAGTTCGCTGCCATCATTTAGTGTTCTGCAGCCAAACGCACCAAGAGAAGTAAAACCCGTACATTTAATTTGCAGGTGGATTTATTGTATCAGTTCTGGAAGCTGAAGCGGAAAGCAAACTTCAATCAGCCTCTGGTGGCGCTGAAGAGAGACGAGGTGGACAACCTGGCCCAGCAGGAGCAGGACGTCCTCTACAGGAGACTCAAACTCTTCACACACCTGCGCCAGGACCTGGAGAGGGTGAGTGGCACAAACAGGGAACCGTTCCCACTGCAGGGAACGCTGCAGCTGCAGTTTATTCTGAAAGGTTCACCTGCTGTTCACCTGCTTCCTGGTTCCACCATGTTGAGTTTTTTTGTTTTTGTTGGAAACCAGAAGACGAAACTCGCTGCTGTTTCAGTTTCTCTGACGCTGTGATAAATAATCCAGTAAGTCTTGAAGTAACTTGGCAAAGTTTCTGGGTTTGGTGGTTGGAAAACCTGAGACTGTTGGTGTGATTGTTTAAAACGAAGGTGAAGGGAGAGTTGTCAGGTCAGGGACTGGACACATAAAAACGTCTGCAAAGCTTCTGAAACATTAAATTAATCGTGAAATAATTGCTACCTAATATAGTAAGAGATTAATCCTTAATTGGGGTATTTGCTAAAAAGAAAAAACATTGAAAGGAGTAATTAGGTTGAAACAATATAAAAAATCTAAACATTTTGCATTTCAGATCAAATGTCTGTAAATGTGTTCTAATATTGCATCAAAAGGCCTTAGTAGTTACATGGAAAATATGTCAAATGTGGCGATTTCTAATCCAATTGATTGTCAGAACAATCGATTGATCGATTACCAAAGTGATAGTAGTCTCATTGTCTAAAAGTTTCTAACTATGAACCAGTTTTTAATTTTAATCACCAGATAAATATATCTGGATAAATCCCAGCCATTTGTCCCTCAGCAGGCTAATGCTAACAAATAGCTAATGCTCAAGCTAATGTTTTAGCATTAGCTTGAGCATGAAAACAGGAAGCAGGTTCAGTCTGGTGCCCGCGGTTCCCCGTCACCCAGTTTCTCAGGTAAAGAAGGAAAACCTGGTTGGATCTGCAGCTTTTTAACTGAACTCATTTCTTTTGCTCATTCAGGAAATCTGAAATGCTTTTTTCTCCTGGAAACCTTCCGCCAACCAACCTGATTTCTCTCATCAGGCTGCAGACTAAACATTCTGCTTTCTGTTTAATATTTCTTCCTCACGTCTCTGTTTTCATGCAGCCCATTGGCCCGATCAGAACCGGTTCGGTTTAACTCGGCTGATTCAATTTGGCTCGCAGTGAGGCGACCATCTGGCAATTAGGCGGCAGCGTTTCAACCAGATGACTTAAAATTCTGCAGCAAGCTGAAACATAATCGATTTGTGTTTTCATCTCCTCTCTGCTGGGCAGAAACGCTGACCCCCAGCAAGGAAACATTAATAAAACCTCTGGAAACACATTTATGGCTTTATTCAGGTACCTGAACAAATCCTTGAAGATGTTTGAACTTCAAGGTTTGGAAAGTCTTTGATTTCTGTTTGAAGTCCTTGAAAGTCCTTAATATTCAAACAGCACAGATTGATGATAAACATTTGATTTAAGACGATATTTAAAGATGATGAACATTTTACACAAGTTAATTCAGGCCAAACTTCTCTTGTTTCAGTTTTGTCATAATTACCTGAATTATTTCTATTTGCTAAATGCCAGAAACTTAAAACTTTTGTTCTCACTGTTTGGAGGCCTTTCTGTTTATGACTGGAAGAGATGGAAACAGAAGTTTATGATGCGTTTTGTACCCTAAAGAAAAAGATTTAAAAGTTCAGAAATCTCACTAATTAGATTTTAACACAATGTTAAAAGTTTACATTGCAGCAGAAACACGTTCAGTTTGAAAACTTTTTGTGAGGAAAAGCAAAAGACAAACATGAAACATTACATTTAGCTAACCTTCTCCCTGCTGCAGAAAGTAGAATCATATATGAAGACATTAATAAATGATAGTGAACTGAAACAGTTTCTGTTTTTTCTCCAAACTGCTGGAAAAGTTTGAAATTTACCTTAAAAACTCCTGAATTTTACTTTGTGAACAGGAACCTTTTGTTTTTGGTTTCCTGAGGTTGAGTGTGTGTGTGTGTGTGTGTGTGTGTGTGTGTGTGTGTGTGTGTGTGTGTGTGTGTGTGTGTGTGTGTGTGTGTGTGTGTGTGCGCGTGTGTGTGCGCGTGCGTGTGTGTGTGTGTGTGTGTGTGTGTGTGTGTGTGTGTGTGTGTGTGTTAAGGAAGTTTCTTTTTGGGGGCGATTTGCAGCGATCAACTGACCTGACCTGCATGTTTCAGAAGATGTCGTGGGAACCAGAGCGCCCGGGGGAAAACCCACGCAAACACGGGGAGACCATACAAACTCCACACAGAGGGTCTCTGTGAAGACGCAGCGCTAACCGCTGCGCCACCGTGCTGCCCACGTTTTTTCAATTGGGTGGGGAAGGCTTGGTTAGGCTTGTAAGGGTGTGTGTGTGTGTGTGTGTGTGTGTGTGTGTGTGTGTGTGTGTGTGTGTGTGTGTGTGTGTGTAGTACTTTCAGGTCTTCAATTTAATTCATAATGTTCTTAAAAACTCTTAAGTTTGAGTTGGTGAAACCTGCAGAAATCCTAATCAGAGTATTGATGGCAGATTAACAATAATCTCCTACATGTTACTGTACTTTACCAATCAACATAATTAGAATAAAATCTTTAATAATGATAATTTATAATCATTTCTGGGCCAGGCCGGCTCAAGCGGCTCCGGCTGCATCGGGTCTCGGTGCTGCTGGCGGGATCGATCTGGACTCGGCCGCGTTTTGTCCCAACGAGTCGACGGCTCACCGCTGGCTGTCGATAAGCTGAACCAACTTCCTTTCTGTTAGGGTTAACACCTGTTAAACATACATTAACAAAGAGAAAAGACAAAAGAGTTCGATTCTTTTTCACTGGCGAGGAGAACGGACAGAGATGTGCTTCAGTTACAATCTCCTGCCGCTCTGAAGCACATTCTGTCTGCTCCTCTATGTTATTGTTTCTAGGATCCCTAATCACAAGGACGCTGCAGCTCTAGAGGGAGGGGAAAACAGCTACAGCGTCAAATGTTATTCACTAACTAACACACAATCATTCTGTACTAGATAATGTCCTTCCAGGCACAAAGATTAATAAAATATGTAGTGATCAATGATGGTTTTATTGGAGGCCAGCAACTCAACCGAAGCAGAGCTCTTCACCAAGAGGTAAACCTGCAGGAAGATTTTGTTTCTGCTCTCTGTCAGTGAGGCCTTCTGAGAAAGGAATCAGAGTAAATCAACAATACAAGAAACATTCTTAATTCTATAATGAGATTAACTTTAAGGAAAGCATCAATTAAAGATACATTATAAAGATCAATGAGAATAACAAATAATTGATTAATAATATCACAATTTCTCCAACACTTTCACTTCCTCCGTCTTTTTCAGGCCACGTTCTTTAACTTTGCCTGTTTCTGTCACTGGGCTGTTTAAGGCAGAAGAAACAAATAAAAACTCTTTCATACTCTAATAATCTCAGAAATTAGGTTTCAAAGTTTTGACTCTTCAAACTCAGAAATGTCCTTGTTTTGGTGTTGATATTTTTGGCCTTCCTTCAGTGGCCCACCATGCTTCTCACCAGCTCCTGGTCTTTATTTAGTAAAATGTTTTTCAGATCAGTCTTCTGCTGTTGTGTTTGTGTGGGAAGAAAATATTCCAGTTTTCTGTCGAATTGAAAAATCTTCTCCATGCCTCCATCCCGGGACGCCGACCCGATCGGAACCGTCCGTCCTGCTGCCGTTGTGAATAAATGCGTGTCGTGCCGGAGGATCCGGGGGGCTAACGGCGGGCGGATTATCTCCGTCCTCCTCCTCTTTGAAGTGCTGCCAGTGGAACGAATTGCACCGTGCGCTCCCTGATGCGCTGCTGAGCTCCCTCCATTTCTGCTCTCCCCTCCTGAGCGCTGCCAGAAAAAACTCTTGCTCCTTGTCAATATCACCACATTATTCATCCCATCAGTATGCAACAGGTGAAAGCCGTGAGAAGCACAGAGATTGGCCAGAGAAAGCTGCTTTTCTTATTATCTTTCTGCTCCGCGGGGAGAAACGTGCTGCAACTGGGCGTCACGCGGGAAAGCGCTGCTTGCTAACCAGGGCTAGCGTTGATTGTAGCTCTTAAGTTGCCAACATCATGTAGTAAATCTTAAATTTTTGCCTAATATAAAAAAGAAAAAGTGATGCAGAGCTTTGCTAATAATTGCCAAAAATACAACAACCAGAGAATCAGATCAGGAAAAACGTTTTCGTTAAAAAAAAAGATCTGGGCGACAGGGAGCAGGTCAGTTATGCTAGCTTGACTATGACAACCTTGGCGTGTAGACGGTGCTCTGGAATTTGGTCTATTTTGGTTGAGTTTAAAAAAAATGAAAAGGCAACAACTCTGACAGTCGAGCAGGACTTTAAATGAGCTAATCTACCACCGCTCTGTTAGCTTAGCTAATAGCAGCAGTAGCTAATCCACTGTTAGCTAATAGCAGCAGTAGCTATTAGCAGCTGTGTTAGCTTAGCTAATAGCAGCAGTAGCTAATCAGCCGCAGCGATCACTTATTAATAATCACAAAATAACATCAAGCTTGAAAAAATAAAACTGCAATCCATTGAATGTCCCGTTTTTTGGGTGGAAATATTTGAGTTTTTTTTTTTTTTTTTTTTTTTTGGTGTTGAAGCCTGAAGCGTAAAAATGTGTTGTTGTCGATTGGCATGGCAACCAGTCTGTGTGTAGCATGCTAGCGGTTTAGAGATGAATTTGAACAGGTTTTCTGTATCATTTTTCCGTTTGCTGCGCCGCACTCACCCAAAGCATAAACATGTAAAAGTTTCAACTTTTGGTGTTTAAATTACTTTTAGATTACTAATTTCTAAAGGAACATGAACACCTTTGGGTCTCATACTGTAGATATTTGTAGACAAATTCTGAGCAAAACAATGAAATGACTTTCCAAAGACGATGGTTTTCCTCCAACAGAACGATGGTTCACTTGGTGTCAGAACAATTCAGCCCAAAGCAGCAAATCAGAGCCAAACGTGTCAAATACTGAAGACCAGCGTGAGAATATTAAACATCAGCTTTGATGTGTTTTGTTGGACTGGGAAGAAAAATGTGTTTATATTCCTGAGAGGTATGTAAT